CAAAATGATATAAATTGATAATGATGATGATACTACAAAAATTAGCTTTTAAATTTCAATTAAAAATCGTCCATGACACACCTATGTCGGTAGTTGTTGGGAGCACTAAGCTCGAAGTTGTTTAGGAGTATGTTTATCTGGGACAAATAGTCCGACTAGGTAAGTCCAACTTCGGCCAAGAGGTCAATCGACGGATTCAACTCGGTTGGGCAGGGTTCGGGAAATTACAACACATCTTCTCGTCAGTTATACCTCAAAACCTGAAAACGAGATTGTACAACCAGTGCGTGTTGCCAGTGACGACTTAAGGAACTGAGACGTGGTTCTTCACTGCTGACCGTATGAGGACGCTCAAGGTTGCTCAGCGAGCTATGGAGCGTGGGATTTCTCTGCGTTATAAACTTAGAAATGAGGATATCCGCAGTAGAACCAGAGTGACCGACATAGCCCAACGGATTACTAAGCTGAAGTGGCAATGGACCGGTCATATAGCTCGAGAACCGACAACCGTTGGGCAAAAAAGGTTCTCGAGTGGCAGCCTCGTACCGGTAGGCGATGTGTAGGGCGACCCCCCACTAGATGGAGTGACGACCTGGTAAGACATGCAGGAAGTCGATAGATGCAGGTGGCTCAGGACCGTGCTTTGTGGCATTCCTTAGGGGAGGCCTATGTTCAGCAGTGGACTTGTGAAGGACTGTAATAATGATGATGATCGGAATGGAATCTAACGCGCATTATCCCCTCTAGTGTATCGAAAAACCCAACGATTGAGGTAAGGTGTTAGGTGAATATCTCTTTTGCACTACCTAACCTAACCATTTTAAACACAGGTTCCGAACCAACTTCCATAAACAAACGTCGCACAATAATCAACCTCACACTTGCAACAGAAGGAGCAGCTAAGCTAATCACGGGATGGCATGTGTGGAGAAAGGCCTCATGCTCAGACCACAGATAGACAGACAGACTGCTTCGTACTACATGTCGATATCTCCGCTACACCAACATGGAGAAATACCCACAAGACCAATAAATAAAGGACCAAAATAACCTAACGTCTTCGTTCGCGGGTTTTGAGGGGACAAACACTATATCAGATCAGTCGCTCCTAGAAGAATAGTACCATGCAGCGTGTCCAGAAGTCACTCCACCAAGGCTTGCCGAGGGAAAGCAACCGTGGTGGGGTAAATAACTAGACAGGAAACGCAAAAGGATTTAAATACGGCCATGAATACCTCAATGGATGAAGACTGGCTACTATATAAGAAAGCTAAGTCTGAGTACAAAAAATGTATCAGGTATTGACGTTCGACAGGATGGCGTAAGTTCTGTGGTAACATACTAAACCTGTGAACTAGCGAATCGGATAAGGAAAATCCTAGCTACGCAAGACACGTCGGGATCCATCTCTTTAAAGAAACCCGACGGTTACTACTCAACATCGCCGGATGAAACCCAACGCATCCTAATTGAAACACACTTCCCAGGTTTTTGTGTAACTGAGATATCAATGCCGCACGTCGCGTTGCGGCGTATCGCGCAGAATATTCGGTATTCGGCGTGTGGTCGAATATACTTTACGTTGCAAGTCTACTAATAACTCTTTCACATTTCTTCTCTAACGCTTTTACACCTCTGAGGACTAAGATAAAATGTCTGTTATACTTGCTCACTACACCCTTAAGACAACACAGTATGTGATGGGCTGATGATGATGATGATGATAAACCATATCCTTAAAACCACCAGGGACAGTAGTAAATCAAAACTACTTTTACGGATTTTATCGCGTTTAATTTATATGATTTTTAATCCACGTTTCGGGTACTTTCCAGCACCCATGGGTGCCATCCGTACAAGTAGTTTTAATCAATGAGTAGTAAATCAATTTATTACATTGTGGACAAGGACTATTTGCAAGTTTTCTTTACTTGAGCCATTGGGTCCGATGACAGATGTAAAAGGTTTTATTGGACCTATTCGGTGATGACCCCGATAGGATTTCCTTATCGATTTTTAAACATTGGCATCGATTTTCTTAATAGTGCACAAGTTGACGCCTTCGGGGTTTACCTGAACTGGATGGGAATAGAAACTGTATCGAAATATTTTGCTATATCAACGAAAAAGCCAATTGATTGGCAATCCTTATATAGTTCTTCAGATATGTAATGGGTCATTTCCTGCACAGCAACGAGAGTGTACGTACGAGGTACGAGGTTTCGGAACATCGTGACAAAATTTGTTATACGATGGTACGGGATAGTTGCTCCCTGTTTTAAGTTAATGTATGATTATATATTCTAATGAGATTAACCCTTATTATTATGAAAGTTATAAATTTTAAATTATAAGAAAGAGAAAATGTTGTATAGTATAGTATTAGCATGTATACCTGAGATGCAGGTTTATTCTAGTTCAGGTACTTATTACATTCTTATTACATACTATTTTTAGACTAAGGCTTTGTTTAAGTAAATTGTACAGACCAACCGTCTGTACAGTTAACTTAAGGGTACACTAGTCGCTCGTTCTTCCATACAAACGTAGTCTAGCGATAACTCCACTGTTTGATGGTGTACGCACAAAATAAAAAATGATTTCAATTTGTCTTATCATTATCTAGCCCTGTACGGAAACAAAAAAGTAAAAAAAGATTATGTTTAAAAGTAATAAGCGTCGAAAATTCCGAATTTCAACACTATTTTTAACACATCTTTGGGCGGAAATAAATACCATAAGAAGAACGAAAATTGCAAAACAGTTACCATACAGGGATAGATTAGTTATTCAAAAATGCAAATAATTTTATTTTAAACAGATACATGCAATAGATTTTTCGTGACATCCAGACTACCAAAGGTCTGTTTATAAAATTTCGCGCGCCCGTTTTTGTTATAAAACATCTTGCCTTTCGCTACAAATTGTTTCCCCGATCAGTGGGACGGACGGAGGGAGGGCGCAGCGCGCACTCACACATGCTCACTAGGTTAGCCGCTGCTATCTATTTATGTTGTAATACCTACATATCTACATCTTTATTTAGAATAATTGCTTCCTTTTGTTCGTGTCCACTTGCTGAAGCCGGGATGAATATAACTGGTAAAATGTACCCATAAGTTTGTTGAAGCACATGTAATAATAGTTAAAATTGAAAACAGGTAGGTACATAATAATGAACTTTCGATACAGGTAGTACATTAGGTACTTAACTACTTTAATTTGCCAACTAACGAAAACATCTCATTGATCGATTGTCGAAAATCTTAAAATTATCTATAAATTTAATTAGAATAGGTAGGTAATTTTTAGATTTTCGATAATCGTGCTTACGTATAGGAGTCTCATATCCTAATATACCTAATGTAATTTATGTACTTTAAGCAATCTAAGAACAATAATAATTTTAAAACACTTTAACACAACAAAAACATGAAACTGAGAAGAAACACCCGATCTGGCGAAACAAACTCTGAGAGGTCAGTCCAGTACATTGGTCATGTCAAACGAGAACCAGGCAGGTGGCTAATATGGTCCTTTGAAGAAAGAACCATACAGAGATTCCGTACCCCAAGGGTAACCAGCAGGGCCCTATTACGGAGCCTCCGCTGTCCGTGTGTCTGTCTGTCAGCGGGCTGCATCTCATGATCCGTAACAGGTAGATGGTTGTAATTTTCACAGAACGTGTACCTATTTCTGTTGCCGCTATAACAACAAAGAGTAAAAATAAATTTGAAATTAAAGGGTTTCCTACTAGAAAAAGAAACATGTAGGTAATACCTATTTATTATGTAAGGTATAATTTAACTTGCTGCTCAATTTCTCATTTAGCTAATTCTACTACCAATACTTAACTTCGTACTTATTTGTTATTATATACTTATGAATCAATTATTAATATATTTTTAATATTTAGATGGAAGTCAGTTCTCTGAGATTGAAGATATTAAAAGAATATTTCATAATAATTAAACGACATTTATTAATTTCAAATAGAATAAGCGTTAAAGTAGGCATTGACGTAGCTATCTTCTAAGCAAACATAATTAAATATTACCCAAATTATTGATATATGCAGTCTTTTGATACTAGTCATGTTAACAGGTTAAAAAAATTAATAAGTTTCATCTTAATGAAACTTGCAATTTACTAATCTTTAACTATAAAAAAATAATATTAATTTTATTAAATACCTGTTTATGATATGTTTCAGGGTGGCTCACATAATTCAATTTTCATGGTTTGATTAAAATGTGATTCGAGGGTAAAATTGTACCTCCTTTAGGTATTTATTTAAGTTACAGCCTATTTACGCCCCACTGCTGAGCACAGGCCTCCTCTCATTTCTGAGAGGGATTTTAGTGTAAGGAAATGTTGCGCCTTTAGATATTCATTTACTCGTTAAGAATCATGAAAATAATCGAAATGGCTGAAATGCTTGCTAAAGTGTTGAAAGTGGTTCCAAAAGTACTTTTTTATTGAACCAATCATATTTGTAACCAATCAAAACTTTCAGAGCCACATTGATTGTACGATTAAAACATTGCTGCCATACTCGCGTATTTTTATCAACAGGAACAAATTGAGCTGAAATTTGCAAAAAAAAAAGCTTAAGAAAATTTGAATTTCGTGGGTGACCCTGGAACATTTACAAAAATATAAAAACAATCAAATATACTATGAAAACATACAGAACAAAAACATAGCATCACTTCTTTATATTTGGTATCGGGTATGTAACGTTCGTAAATAAACTTACATTTTTAAACATTTGTATTTTTAATAAAGTTATTATAAAATCAATATGTTTCTCTATAAGTAAATAATTTTTAGCAAAAAATATTCATTACATTGCGACAAGGGTTATAATGAACGTGAGTGAAGGCACTAGCAGTAATACACATTCAGAACAAATTGAGTTTCAACCTTTCCCAACATAGCTTTATTTTTTCTGCCACATTCATTATTTTTTTAAGACGCACTGTACCTAGTGAAATATTTTAGAAATAAATCTCGTCACTGTCGTTCATTAGCACATACTCATCGGGGTCTTCATTTATCTGAAGCAGTTCAATATCTTTAACGATTGAAACTTCGGGTACGCAGTCTTGATCTTTTCGTTTAGGAACAACAAATTTAACATTTCCTTTTCTGCCGATAGTTTTGTAATAATTTATAGTGTATTTTCTTGTAGCCAAATATGCATTTTCAATCACACCAACATAGTATTTCCAAGATTTAGTATAATAACGTGTTAAGACGGTATCTCCAGTTTTGTACTCATTTTTCTTCACTTTTTTATCATTTTCACAAAGCAAGCTTTCGTATTCTCTTACCTTGCTTTCGAAGTCGTCTGTCTGTGATGTACCCACCTTATTTTGTTGTTTTTCGGTTTTGATCTTCATGTCAAATGCTGTTTTGTTTGAAGATTCAAATTTACACTAATCTGTGGTATTTTTGATTTTGATTAACTCCTTATCATTACTCTTTACTTTCATTGCAGGAGTTCTTAATCTTTTTACTGGCGTGTTTTCTTTATCTAAAGATTCTCCTTGTAAATCTTTACGCTTTAGGTTCGAACTTAAATCAAACTATTTATCCTCAGGTTCAAGTTTTAAGGTTGCACAAGTTTTTAAACCAATGAAAGGTCGATTTTCAGGTTTGAATCGAACTGATGACAGAACAGTGACTTTATTATTATTAAGTTCTGTATATTTTGTCTCGTCACTTAATTTTTTTTTCTTTTTGTGGATTATCATTCATCTTCAGATCGTTATTTATGCTTTTTTGTGTTCTATCATTTCTCGTTGAATGCTTCTTTTTTTGGCCGTTTTCAGTGTCTGTCAATTCCATTATATCATCAATCTGTAATGTTTTTATTATGTCAATGTCTGATGTCTTTAATAAATCTAGATCAGTGTTTCTTCTTGGGTTTTCATCATCTGTGTCCGACCAATCAGACATGACAAATTTGGAATTATCGCTTAATATGCCTTGTAAATCAGAATCACTGTGTGAGCTCATTTCACAGCTTCCAGACGTCGTGCTTAAAGACCTCTGCAAGTTTTTGGCTTGTCTTTTTAAATGTTTTCTTTTTTGTTTGAGAATACCTTTCTTCAAACAACCTTCAGTTTTAATATTGATTCGTTGAGTTGGAGAGTTCTCGTTTGGTATAATTTGTTTATTGTAAAGATCTAAGACTTCTGTAGATGCGTTATTTGTTAAACATTTTTTATTTACTCCTTTTTTCATCCCAGATTTTGACTTCGTGTTTTTGCTGTTTTTTTCTTTTTTATTCTTTGTAACATTCTTAGGCTTATTATTTTTTACCTTAATCGAACACTTTTCTTTTGATATTCCCGATGGTCCAGGTTCTTGATGATCATCAATGTGTACATTGGAGTTTGATTCTGAATTTTGAATTTGTGGTTCTTTTTCTACTGTGATCTGATTTTTTACGTTTTTTTTCCCAAATATGTGTGTGTTATAACTTCCGCTCCTTTTGCTATACGTATCATTTTGACTCTTGAGTTTTGTGGTTTTTGCGTAACCTTTTTTAAAAGCAGTTCCTCAAAAGAAATACCGTAATTCACCGACTCTGCACGATTTTCAGCGCTGACATGAATAATGTCCTGAAGTTTACGATCAATCTTCATTTCTTTGTTTAAGACGTCTATACATGACTGATTCAGCGATTTGAGTTTTGCTAAATTTCTTTGCCCATTTTTATATATCATTTCATTTTGCCATATTTTATAAGCCGCTGGGTCATATTTTTCTTTTGGTATAACATTTGGGGTCAAACGGGTAGATACCTCCTTTCATAAAGCCATTTTGAATCACTTTTGGTGTTGTTTGACTCCATGCTTGTGCAAACATTTCAGCAAACTCTTTCTTACGTATTTTAAATCCGACATTTTGACGTTGCCATTCCACAAGTTTTTTGTCCCAAATACTTTTAAATGACTTGAAGACCGCTAAGTCTAAAGGTTGTAGCAAGTGAGATGTATGAGCAGGCAGTTTAAAAATGGTTATGTTGTTTTCTGCTGCTAATGCTACGACTCGTTCGTTAACGTGGGTGCTATGACCATCGTAAATTAAGAGCACTGGTCTTTCTTCTCCTAAACTTGGAATTGTGACCTTAACCATATAATTATAAAATATTTCGGTCTCCATCCAACCGCGTTTGCTAGAAGCATAAGCAACTTCAAAATCATATTCTTCATTTTGATCTGCCATCCATTGGTCATATATGTAGCTCCCTTTAAATACAATTAAAGGATTCAATTTGATGCCAACCGCGTTGACAGTCGTTAACACGGTAATATTTTCTATTGCAGATCCAGCCGTTGTCCTTGTGCATGGTGCGCCTACCGCGCCAACAACTTTCGTTTTTGTTGGATCTAAACATACACAGAGAGACACAGAGGTCTCGTCTAAATTCCAAATCCTATGCGGGTCGTTTAGGTTCAACTTCTCAAGGGTGCTTTCTAGTAAAGTGAAATACTCGTGTATTACAAAAAGATCTGTCATGCGTTTTCGGAGGTACTCTATTGGTTGAGGTTTTTTAATGGATAGCTTGTGCCGCTTTCGGAACGAAAGAAACCAATCGTTCCCTGGTATATCATTTATGAATGGAGTTTTTATTTTATTTCTCTTTATAAATTCTGCCACTATGTCAATCACTTCAGATTTAGATAAGCCCCAACCCCATTTTTCCATTGTACGTAGACCTGATGCTAGTTTGGTTTCCATATCTAAAGGTATAGCATGTGATCTTCCTAGGGTACGACTTTTTAAACCTGTTTTACCATTAACTCGATCACTAAGGGTAGATGCTGGAATCCCGTAAAGTTTTGATGCAGCATAATTAGTTAGTTCTTTTTTTCTTACTTTTTCTACAGCAGTTTCCAAGTCTTTTTGCAAGTACGCAATTGTTCTTTGTGATGTTCGGCTGTAGTTTTTAGGCATGGCGAATCTGTAAAAAATAAAATTTTTGTTGCAAAATATTTTTATTTCGAAAAATTTCGGGAAGACTGGTGGGAAGCAGCATGTGACCGAAAAAATTGGAGGAATTTGGTACCTATTTAAAATTATTTTCATGTATTGTGTTTATACTTTAATTTTAAAATATATGAGTACTAAATAGTCATCTCTGTGTTTTTAATTTATTGACCGTGTATATGTAACTGATCTCCTTCAAACGGCTTTGAATTTTTGTGTGCGTAATTAAGTTAATTCGAGAATGGTTAAGATTCACAATTGAGCCCCTTAGGTGGCACTGTTGTTGAAATCCAGAAATAACCCATGTGAAACCAGGGCGGATCTCTGGTATTTAAATAACTTTGCAAGCTCTTGTTAATGTCGTCACAAAGCAGTCACAATTTCGATGTCTTGTCTTTACCTTACCAGCGTAACTAACTATTAAACAATAAATATTGAATGTTGGTGTTATATTATTACTGTCCTTTTACATCAAAATTTTAGGTCTCCTTTTCGATCATTATCAACAAAACTGAAAATTTGGTAATAAATAACTACCCATTAGAAAAAAAAATATTAACAACAGTTGCTCAAAATAGTCCTATCGAGTAAATAAAAATATAAAAATAATACTCAAAAAAAACTATAAGTGCATATATCGAATTGGAGGGACCTTGTCCAGTAGTGTAAAATATAGATTAATAAAAAAGTTTGAGAAGCACTTTAACGGTATAGACCGAATTTTTTTTAGTCCGATCTTTACCTATTGATATTTTAGAGGGGTAAGATCGGATTTCGGCCCGCAAACGTCTTAAGCGTGATTTCAATAATCAAATTAAACCGTCATATAACGCTCATTAATAAACAATTACGAAACTAGTAAAAAAATTAAAACTACTTACCAAATTGTCTGTGAAAATTCCTTGGGGTAAGATCGGATCTTCTCAAAAAGCACGTCTAGTCTATAACTTCACTTAGATCATTAAAACACCCGTCCGGCTTGGCGTAGCGCTAGACACAGACTAATGGGACGGGCACAACAAAATGGCGCGTAACGCTACGTTGTCAACAGTTAAAAATATTGCCAAATGCAGCGGTAATATAATTCCTACGATCTTAGCCCTTGTACGATCTTACCCTGATGCACCTTAATTAACCTACATAAAAGCCCCACTCACATCAAAATCGCGCAGTTGAAATAGCAGTTGTCCTGACACTGGCTTGCATATACTTCGGGGAGTTGCCTGTGGGCTATTATAGCTAACTAGCTATGGTAATAAATACCTATTTAAAATAAATAGTACCTACAGTAATATTTGCATAACCTACAATAAAATACGAAAACATAAAGAAAACAGAAAAAAGTGTAAAATAATTATGTTAGTGTTAGAAGTCGGTTATATTTTTTTCAAAAAAAAAAAAATATTAAAGTTTTTTATGCTACCATTTTTAGTTGAGAGTTATGTCCCTTTAGTGGGTACAGGCGTGATATTATACTGTGTGGTTGCGTAAAGAATGCGTAGATACGCGATAGCAGCAATCGCGGTTGATTTGCTGTCATTTATTGAAGAGTTCCGTCGATTTCTCCAAGATCCCTTCATCAGATCCTGACCTGACCATTATCGATTACCGTGGGATCATCTGGAAAGTATATTCTTTAGAACACATAAAACCAACGAATTGAGAACCGCCTCCTTTTTTCGAAGTCGGTTAAAAATTAGGTAAAAACAAATCAATGAAATTATTAGTATATAATAACACCCACTTAAATTCACATAAGAACTTTCATAATAACAACCAAATTGGGTTCATAATAATTATGTTTCACACAGCAGATCCTAAGTTCTAATGACACCAATTTGTTTCCTCTCTCTTTTCTCTTTTTAAAATACGTTACCCCCACAATAGGATTTTCTCCTGTATCGGTGAGGCAGTTTACAAACATAAATTACACAAGGACAAACATCTAGACCCGGAACAACTATTTGTAGACCATACAAATATTTGTTCCGTGCGGGACTCGAACCCGCAGCCCCAAGCGCAGCCACTCATTGCTAAGCCACTGCGTCACGGAGCTCGGAATTGCCTTTTGAGTTTATGTTATCATTCAAACATGTACCGCATAGGTAGGTAGGTATAATTATAATTATACGCGATGACGCCGTCACTTTGCGTCACTCAGGAGTGCGTATGTGTGTGCGCACTAGCTTCTTACTGCTCATCACAGCGTCTATCCCTTTCGCACGTAATGTCGGTTGAGATAGCATGCATTTTTACCCCGCCCACCACTTAGTTCGTGCCATCGACTAGGGCAACCTTAAGCATAGCCATAAATAAAATTAAATAAAAAAATTTAAACTGTTCGTGATTAAATCAATCAAAAAAAGCTGTGTTAAAACAGAAAATAAAAAGCATAAACTTTATACTAAACGGATTTATTAATATTTTTTTTGTTAAAACATTGAATTTCTTATATGTATTTTACAGCTAGCGTTGTATAACAATTACTTTTTATTGAAAATTAATTGTTACAAAATTAAAAATACAGTTTTAAATCAGTTAAGCCAAACTTTTGAAAATATTGTATTGTATTGGTAATAGGAAAAATAAATAATCCTTAACATATAAATTTGACTATGTTCACAATTGTTAACAGCGCCATCTTACACATATTATAAAGAACATTACAAGGCACAGAAATATCACAGGTTAAAATCTAATTAATTTATATATAAGTTGATAATCTCTAAATTATTTACATAGGTATTTAAATAACGCACACATCAAATGCAATTTTACAGCATAACATAATTAAAACTGCCGACATACGATGGATGGCGCTGCAAATAATTTCACTATTCGCTAAGAGATGTCACTAGAATCCTTGTTTAGCGTCTCTGAACTTTCTGCCAGTGGGTTGATCTTCTAGACACGGGACCTGTACTAAATTGAAATAAATGTGTCCCATGAGATGGGAGGCTGATGTGTTGGTGTTCTTGAGGCATTCGAAGAGCATGTCGTCGCAGGTGCAGTGCGACTTGCTGTACAGCGAGTTGTTTGTGAGGTTATATCGACGGGAGAAGGCACGGACTTTGGTAGGGCAGAGATCGTGTGTTCTGCAGCAGCGGTCCAGAGAGCGATCAGCGCCCAAGTCGTGATAATCCGCTGCTATGTCTCCTGTGCCGCACCATTTTGTACCTACAAATAAAGAAATACTAGTTAACAATTAAAAATATATGCATCTGGGCTACGCTCCGCTTAGATACGTAGGTACTATATTAATATTATCTTTGTGTAAAACTGTACTATTACCAAGGTAGATTATTCATTTTGTACATTTGTCACTGGTCACAAAAGCCTTTGAGAGAATCATCTGATTTCATCCCTTGGGCACAGTGTAACTACTGCTAACAGTAGGTAGGTAGGTCATCGGAGGTGTCTAGACAGGGCAATCGTGTGTGAGTGGTGCGGGGCTAGACGCGGTCGGAGCGCTCCAAAACTCCAAACTGTCCACTAGTTGTTCTGTCACACAAATAAATTAAAATGGTTCACACTACGTATGAAGTAAAAAACTGTGATTCGTCCTCATTTGAAGATAAGTAATTAAAGTTTCATCAGATTTCACATACACAGAATTTTGATTAAACGTGAAATAAAATAAAATCAGATTTTTTTATTACTTCCCGTTCTGACAACCCTATCAATTTATTGTTTATGTCGGCTTTTCCAATAAAATCAAATGCGATGACTGACTGTATGTTCTTCTTAGGCTGTGCCGTGGGTGTCGTAATAGAAGACTATGGGAAATGTTAAAAACCTTATAGCTTCCGATAGATGGCGGTTTAACCGTCTCGTTAAGGCTTCCGTCTAGCTTTGCTGTTTTACATTCCCAGCAATTAGAGGGGGCGTCCTCCCCGTGCATAAATACGTTCGAGATCGCAGATGAAGGTTGCTCTACTTCATTAAATATATAACTTATTATTATTTTTTTTACAAAAATATTCCTTTTACTTTTGTCGTGGTAGTATAATTTTTTACCCTTTTATATTTCATAAATGTCGTTTTTAGTAATGTTTATACGGGGTGTAGGTTTAAAAAGGGTATATACCACCGAAGGAAAATAAGAAGTACCTCTTCATACAAATTTCGCCTCTACCTTGTACATTTTGTACTTTATTACTACTTTTACTACTATTTTTACTGACACAAGGATATTTCTTCTTTTTTCTATCCATATTTTCCGTTTTGTTTTTTGGTAATAAATTGAAATTCTCCAAATATAAAAGTCCAAGTCAATTAATCTTATACTAATATAAACACTAAGACACTAAAAACTAGAACTTTTTTAATATAGAATAGGGGGCAAACGATCATGCGTTGATGTTAAGTGACTAATATGACAATTAAATAAAAATAACATATATATAAATAGAGCAACTTTCACGATATGCTCCGCTCAGTCCATAAGAGCTGCGCGAGGGAAAGAGATCAACCGTGCAAGCGAGAGGTAAAGTAACGTTGAGCAACACTGCACACGTCTGAACGCCGAGAAATTCCAGCGGAACTGAGAGAATTTTCAGGCGTTTCTGGTTTATAAATGGAATATAGGTAAAAAATACGAAAACTTATTTTTTATTTTATTTATTTCTAATTCACTTGAAAATAGTTATATTTTTGTGTGGTTTTAAGTGCGACTTTGCTACATTTATACTTCTAATAGAAAAAAAAATAGATATTTGCAGTAGAAAAAATCATGAAATTACAACTTTTTAAGCCCTTCAAATAAGAAAATTAAAGCATTTATAAAAAAAGTGACCAGATCAGATTATTGTAAACAATATGTAAATAAACGTGATCTGAATACTTTTTTTGATATTGTTATAGTTTGTACATAGTAGAGGCTTTAATAAGACTTTTTACGCATGTAACCTAATCATAGGCATGTTTAATGCCTAATAGAGCTATTAATTTAAACACCAAAACAACATTAAAAAACAGTTTCGAAAATATCAAATCCTACACTTATGTAAAATATGTTTCACTTTTTCTTTTTTAAATACTATAAAAGAATATTTGTTTTGCTGTAAGTTTTGCGAGAACACTAATTTTTACAAGACTGGGGCCTTAACGACAGACATACTCGTAAAATAACCAAACCGGCGACGGGCGGTAGGATCAAAGCTACAACACCTGACATTGCAAATCACCTGCAAAACTTAACGATTAAGCGTCCGTAAATTGGAAGACGCCCATGTGCAACGGTGTACTTTTATGAACCGTTAAAAAATAAAAATGTCTTAATCAAAAGTGGCGGTTAAGAATATCCACTACCCCATATCTTCCCGTGGGTGTCGTAAAAGGCGACAGAGGGAAACAGGCAGGAGATGGGCAGCAGCATCTTCCTGATAACAGCAACTGTACGAAACTAAAAAAAAAAACTGCGGTTGCCAACCCGCTCGCCAAGCGTGGCAACTATGGCAATATACCCCCCATGAACAATTACACAAATAGACGGCCCCCAGTCCCCGGCGGCCCCACTATTCCTGGCTACGGTGGTGACTATGGTAACGGCGGGGCAGGGGGTGCTAAGAATCTCCGGTGGAGGTTCGGTTGCCACCTACGACGACTCGACCTGGCAACATTTAACGCACGCACACTGAGGACTGACGAGAAGATCCTGGAGCTGGAAGAAGAGATAGACAAGTTGCACTGGAGTATTATAGGATTATCCGAGGTCCGAAGAGAGGGGGAGGACACGGTGATTCTCGAATCCGGCAACTTGTTCTATCACCGGGAGGGCGACCATCTGTCCCAAGGAGGTGTCGGATTTATCGTCCACAAGTCTGTCGTCAACAACGTTGTAAAGATTGGGAGTGTGTCGACGAGGGTCGCGTACCTGATACTCAGAATCACCAAACGGTATTCGCTGAAGGTCATACAGGTTTACGCACCAACCTCGGCACATTCCGATGAGGAGGTGGAGGAAATGTATGAGGATATTTCCAAAGCCATGCATTCCTCCAAAACCCACTACACGGTGTTGATGGGAGACTTCAACGCAAAACTAGGCACAAGAGAAAACGGTGAGCTGAAGTTAGGGATATTTGGAGTAGGGCAACGGAACCGAAGAGGCCAGCAGCTGGCCGACTTTATGGAGAAAGAGGGACTCTTTATGATGAACTCTTTCTTCCAGAAGCAGCCCCACAGGAAGTGGACCTGGTCGAACCCCGACGGTTCGACAAAAAATGAGATTTTCTTCATTATGACGACCAGACGCCAACTGTTCAGTGATGTCTCAGTGATCGCAAGGGTGAAAACTGGCAGCGATCACCGAATGGTTAGAGGCACACTGAACCTAAACGTTAAGTTGGAGAGGTCTCGTCTAATGAAGTCAACGCTCCGTCCCCCTCGTGCTCTAATCCAAAATCCCGAAAACTTTCAGCTCGAGTTACACAACCGCTTTCAGTGCCTACAAGATTGCAATGCAGTGGACGATATGAATGACAAGCTCGTGGAAACTGTCCATGCGGTCGGAGCTAAGTTCTGCAAGACCCGCCGCAGAAGAACACAAAAACTCTCCGATCACACTCTTAATCTCATGGCTGTTAGACGGGAGATGAGGCTGCAATCGTCAACAGATTTGACAGCATACAGGCAACTGAACAGACAGATCTCCAAATGCATGCGGCGAGACTTATGCAACTTTAATACTGCTCGTATTAAAGAAGCGATCGAGCGGAACCAGGGCTCCAAAGTCTTTGCCAGAGATCTGTCTGCCCGTAAGAGCCAACTGTCAAGGCTGAAGAATGAGTGTGGCAGCATCGTTTCCGGGACACCTGAGATTTTGAGTGAGATTGAGAGGTTCTATGGGCAGCTGTACACATCATCGTTGGAGCCACACGCAAGTGTGAGTAACGATCCAAGAGCAAGTCTTATCCGACACTATTCCGATGATATCCCGGACGTCAGTCTAAGCGAGATTAGAATGGCTCTCCAGCACCTTAAAAACGGCAGGGCCCCAGGCGAGGATGGAATTACAGCGGAGCTTCTGAAAGCGGGTGGAACACCGGTACTTGAAGTCCTTCAGAAGCTCTTCAATTCCGTCCTCCATGGTGGCACTACTCCAGAGGCGTGGAGCAGAAGTGCGGTGGTCTTGTTCTTTAAGAAAGGCGACAACGCTCTCTTGAAGAACTACAGACCGATTTCCCTTCTGAGCCGCGTCTACGTGCTGTTTTCGAGAGTCATTACGAATCGTCTCGCACGCAGACTCGACGACTTCCAGCCTCCCGAACAAGCCGGTTTCCGAAAAGGCTTCAGTACCATAGACCACATACATACCCTGCGGCAGATTGTACAGAAGACTGAAGAGTACAATTTGCCACTTTGCCTGGCGTATGTGGACTATGAGAAAGCCTTTGATTCCGTCGAAATTTGGGCGGTGCTGCAGTCCCTTCAGCGGTGCCAAGTTGACTGTCGGTATATCGAAGTGCTGAAGTGTTTGTACAGTAGGGCTACGATGGCTATCCGAGTACAGAACCAGAGCTCGAAACCTATCCAACTGCAGAGAGGTGTAAGACAGGGTGACGTTATATCCCCGAAATTCTTCAGCGCTGCTTTGGAAGACGTTTTCAAGCTACTGGACTGGAAAGGATACGGTATTAACATCAATGGCGAGTACATCACTCACCTTCGATTTGCCGACGATATAGTCCTTATGGCAGAATCGCTGGAGGACTTAAGCACTGTGCTCAATGACCTCAATAGTTATTTTGGATCCAATATATTACAATCACAATTACAACAATTTAAACATACTGTTAATTACTAAGTACTCAAAAAAGTATCATTAATCACTACTCAAACGATTTCCTCCCACCGGATAGCCTCCCAACGGATAGGTCTTAAGATGAACATGGACAAAACAAAGATCATGTTTAATGTCCATGTCACACCTATGCCGGTAGTTGTTGGGAGCACTATGCTCGAAGTTGTTGACGAGTACGTTTACCTGGGACAAATAGTCCGACTAGGTAAGTCCAACTTCGACCGAGAGGTCAATCGACGGATTCAACTCGGCTGGGCAGCGTTTGGGAAATTACGACACATCTTCTCGTCAGGTATACCTCAATCTCTGAAAACTAAAGTGTACAACCAGTGCGTGTTGCCAGTGATGACTTACGGATCAGAGACGTGGTCCTTCACTGCTGGCCGTATGAGGACGCTCAAGGTCACTCAGCGAGCTATGGAGAGGGCTATGCTCGGAGTTTCTCTGCGTGATAGACTCAGAAATTAGGATATCCGCAGTAAAACCAGAGTGACAGACATAGCCCAACGGATTAGTAAGCTGAAGTGGCAATGGGCCGGCCATATAGCTCGAAGAACCGATAACCGATGGGGAAGAAAGGTTCTCGAGTGGCAGCCTCGTACCGGTAGGCGTAGTGTAGGGCGACCCCCCCCCACTAGATGGAGTGACGACCTGGTAAGATATGCAGGAAGTCGATGGATGCAGGTGGCTCAGGACCGTGCTTTGTGGCATTACTTGGGGGAGGCGTATGTTCAGCAGTGGACTTGTGAAGGGCTGTGATGATGATGATGAATCAAAAGTTAGCATCAGGCCTAAAGGCCACGGTTAAGTTTACCACGATTAGCAGGTGGATGGGCAGCTGCAGTTTTTTTATTGTTATCAAGACGGTACTTCTGCCCATCTCCTATTTAGTTTCCTTTGTCGCTTCTTACGCCACCCACAGACAATATTAGTAACAATAAGTGTCATAATTGTAAGAATATCCACTGCCCCATATCATACCGTGGGTGTCGTCAGAAGCGACAGAGGGAAATGGAAGCAGCATATTCCTGATAATAACTCAAAGTATACGTGGTAGAGCCACGCTACATACTAGTAATATAGTTGTAGCACGAATGGGTCGACTTAACCGGGGAAGGACCACGCTCTCACATAATACCATCATCCTATCCTATAAAAAAATTTATTGCGGTTGACAACCTGCTCACCAAGCGTGTCAGCTATGAGGAAATCCCCCCCATGAGGCAATCTATGGGGGAGGCCTATGTTCAACAGCGGACTTTGATGAAAGACCTAATTATGTGTGTGGCATGTTCGCAATAAATGTTTCTTTCTTTCTTTCTTTATGATAGATTTGTTACGCCGCAATTACACGGTACAACAAAGATAACAATCGGGAAACGAAGGAAGCGTTTAAAACTGGAGAAGGAGGATATCTCACCAGGTATGATGCCCTGCAGTAGGGAGAGTGGGCTTCCACCCAGCAGGCCTGCATGCGCGCCGCCAGCCCGTAGTCGCGCCGCAGCACCCCGCTCCCTCACAACTCCGCCACTTTCCACCCGCCGGCTATCACCCTCCGACGACTTCTCCACGCCCTCCACCTGAGTAAAGAGCAACAAAGTCTTTTTTACAGTAGACCAACGAATACAAACGAGCTAACAGTCAACCTGATGAGTCAAAATATTTTTATTACAACATACTATTATCTAAGTCAAGAAAGCTAGGTATGTCATTGCTTTAACAAGTTCCTACTGCGGAAGAACTTGTGAGAAGAAGCGGCACGAAACTCACAAGTGGACTATGTTTAACCGACTTCAAAAAGGAGGAGGTACTTAATTCAACTGTATGTTTTTATTTTTTATTTGTTCACAAATAGAGAATAGGAATAATATTCCTCAGAACTTTTTTCTAGGTGAACCGATTTTGATGATTCTTTTTTATTTGAAAGCTGGTGCTTCTCATGTGGTCCCTATAAATCATATAAATTTGATCAAGATTAGAGTTGCAGTTTTTGAATTCTGAAACTGAAAATAGAAATTAAAGAGAATTCAAAAACTGAAAAGAAAAGAATAGTGCGTATTTAATTTATTTCGAATACATTGATGATGTTCCCATTTTATTAATATTGAAGTGGTTGTACAAAATTTTTAAATTAACCACTTGTTCTTCTAACTGTTACAAGTTATTATCACTAAAACATATGTTCAAGGAAACTCATTATGTAATTTATAATGTTACGAGCTTGAGGTTCGTGACAATAAAAATTGCCGATAAAATTACCTAAATTAACACTTTAATTTACTTTACACAATTAAAGTTAAAACACTAATAATTTAAACACACTAATTCACTTAATTCCACTCCGAAGCTTCGCTTGTTTCGCCCAAATCAACACTGCCTCCATCGCATCTTGCAGCGCCTATATATTTAAATTAGCAAAGAAATATCCAGAATGTTCAAGTAAACACGCGGAAGGTATCGAGCGTTCGAGTTTCGACTAGGCGCTGTCAGTTGAGCGATTTGTGATGTCATTTTCTCAATGCTCCCCTCGCTCTCGTTCCTGACACTAGATGGCGCTAGTTGACTTATTCATGCAACACTGCCCCCTCCTAAGACATGCTCGTCCCGAGCATTATCGGTCCCATAATAACGCGCCAAGCGATCCACATGGACGATCTTAGGAGTCCCTCTTGCGCCTTTCTGTATCCGGTAGGTCACATCGTTGATCCTGGTTACAATCCGGTACGGGCCGTCCCATTTAGCTTGAAGCTTAGGAGATTTCCCTTTGCTGCGGACTGGATTGTGCAACCACACAAGTGAACCTTCGTCGAACCCTTTGTTGTTCATTTTGCGGTCATACCGGGTTTTCATTTTTTCAGACATTTGCTGGCCCGATTGTCTGACGTGCTCATAAACGTCATTCATTTTTTTCCGCAAGTCATTTGCATAATCGGTTATACTGCGTGGAGCATCGGGTGGTATCCCGGTGATCAGGTCTGCAGGCAGCCGTAATTCTCTTCCAAAGTTTGCGAAAGCTGGTGTCACTGCTGTACTTTCGTGAACAGAACTTCGATATGACAACAAAAACGGTTGTATGTGCTTGTCCCAATCTCGTTGCCGATTGTCTACAACTTTTGCTAGGTACCTCTCCAATGTCTGATTAAATCGTTCCACCATTCCATCAGATTGCGGGTGATAAGAAGTAGTTCTTGTTTTATGAGTACCCATAACTCGGCAAGTTTCCTGGAATATTTGAGACTCAAAATTCCTTCCTTGATCGCTGTGAATCTCTAAAGGTACTCCAAAACGACAGAAGACTTCATGAACTAGTTTATCTGCAACTGTTGAAGCTTCTTGATTTGGAATGGCGAAGACTTCTGGCCACTTAGTGAAGTAATCCATCACAACCATGAAATACTTGTTACCGCTTTCACTCTCCGGAAACGGCCCCGCCACGTCAATGGCTATTCTCTCCCATGGTGCACCAACATTGTACAATTTCAATGCACCTCTACTACGAGTCTGAGGTCCCTTTACAGCCGCACAACTTGTACATTTGCGACACCAGTCCTCGACATCGTTTCGACAGTGGACCCAGTAAAACCGTTCTCGGATCTTCAATAGAGTTCGTTTAACTCCCAGATGGCCTCCTGAACAATCATTATGGTACAGCTGTAGAACATCCGGTACTTTAACTTTAGGGACAACCATTTGCAAATGACAGCTGTCTCCGCGAACGTTTTCCCATTTACGACACAGGACTCCATCCTGAATCAGCAAGCTGTCCCATTGGGCCCAATAGCTTTTCGTGGTTGAACTCATCGCTGAGACGTCCCTCCACTTAGGCTTGGTAGCACGGGCCTTCATCCATCCCAGAATCGGCTTGATGTCCGGATCTTCCTGCTGTGCATGTCGTAGGTTGTCCTTCCACCCGTTGCTGAGGTGGTCTGTCCTGAGCATCCTCACGGATACCACCTCCTTACTCTCTTGCCTACTACAATGGTTGCAATCTTCAGGACAAGGTCTTCTTGACAATGCATCTGCGTTGCCGTGAGATTTCCCGCTGCAGTGTCTGATAGTAAAGTCGTATTCCTGCTGCTGCTGGGCGGTGCTGTTAGCCGCACTTCCTTTCTGAGACCGTTCACCTTCCCTTCGTAGGGTGTGCTCAGGGTAGCTGGACCGAAGATGGCCCCTTTCCCCCACAGCCATAGCACCTAGGGCTGTATCTTTTATTGTGGTCGCGAACCGTAACTGCTGTAACCTCCCTAGCGTGAGGTGAACGATGATCCTGTCGCCGCCAGGCAGTGTCGTTAGCTGCACTACCCTCTCGAGATCGATCAACTCTCCTTTCCACGGTTCGCTTAGGGCAGCCGATTCGAAGATGGCCTTTTTCCCCACAGCCATAGCACCTAGGGCTGTATCCTTTGTTGCGGTCGCGAACTGTAGCTGCCGCAACCTCCCTGACGCGATGGGAACGATGATCCTGCCGCACGGCTTCCACTTCCAGTGCATGGGCCAAGGCGTTCTTAAGCGTCTCGTGGTGCCCGAGCCTCACAGCAGCTCTGACTTCCAGGTCACGGATGCCGTCGATAAATGTCTGCACCAGGTTCCCTTTAATGAGCGCAGGTACAGACCGGTAAGCTTTTCGCACCAGCTTCTCCACCTCTAGAGCCCACTGCTGCAGGTTTTCGTTGATGCGCTGCACACGATCTTTAAGCTGCGCGCGAAAGACGTGTTCCAGATGAGCGTCGCCATATCTCGCTTCCAAGGCCTCAAGAAGCTGCTCATAGGTCACTTTCTTACCGAGAGCTTCCAACACAGTTAAGGCTTGGTCGCGCAGGCCTAGGGTGAGTGCAGTCATGGCTTGGCTTTTATTCCAGCCGTTCGCCTCCATGACGGCCTCGAACTGGATTTTGTAGGCCGACCAGGAAGAGGTACCGTCGAACGGTGGCACCTTGAACCCACGTAGCGAAGGTGTTGTAGCTACTACGGGAGCTGTAGCTCCATCTCCAAGTTTGAGTTCGTCCAGTGATTTCTTCATGTCAGCCATTACGTTGTCAACCCGATTGTTCACTTGGTCGATTCGGGTTTCAGCTTTCGCGATTTGGGTTTCAGCTTCCGACAGGCGGTTGTCATGCTGAGCAACCCTATCCTTCACCTCCCTTATCTCTTTCCCGAATGTAGCGTGAAGGTCCTTAATGAGGAGCATCTGCTGTTCCGACCGACGGGCCTGTTCCTCCTGTCGGCGGGCCTGCTCCTCTTGTCCGCCCCGCAGCTGCTCTTCCAATCGGCGGGCCTGTTCCTCCTGTCCGCTCTGCAGCTGCTCTTTCAACTGACGGACCTGTTCCTCCTGTCGGCGAGCCTGCTCCTGCAGCATCACCATCAGAGCACCTAAGTCAGGTGCTGCAGATGTAGGAGCTACCGACGGGCCTGCAGCCGGTGGCTGGCCCTCCGACGTCTGCGGCGTTGCACCACCAAATCTTCGTTGGTCCGTCTCCTGCTGGCGTTGACTTCGGGTACGAACACCCTCCGTTTCCTCCTTAGGTAAAATCGGCATGATTTTATCCCACTTCTGACACCAATTGTTACGAGCTTGAGGTTCGTGACAATAAAAATTGCCGATAAAATTACCTAAATTAACACTTTAATTTACTTTACACAATTAAAGTTAAAACACTAATAATTTAAACACACTAATTCACTTAATTCCACTCCGAAGCTTCGCTTGTTTCGCCCAAATCAACACTGCCTCCATCGCATCTTGCAGCGCCTATATATTTAAATTAGCAAAGAAATATCCAGAATGTTCAAGTAAACACGCGGAAGGTATCGAGCGTTCGAGTTTCGACTAGGCGCTGTCAGTTGAGCGATTTGTGATGTCATTTTCTCAATGCTCCCCTCGCTCTCGTTCCTGACACTAGATGGCGCTAGTTGACTTATTCATGCAACAATAATATCCTTTTTCTATAAGAATGATTTTTAATTAATGCAAAGGTAAATCAATTATTGAGAAGCCACACATTTTATTGGTCTACGGACAGTATTTCTTGGTATTCCGCACACTCATTTGAAAATAATATACAAGTCAATGATTCTCCAAAGTTTTTATCATCACTAAGAATCAGTGTCATTTAAATATACTATAATTATGCCGAGTAATGACCTCTTTGGGCATTAGTTACGAGATACAAAATGAAATAAAATTATTTAATTTTAAAAGTACCTTTATTACTTCGTTTTATTTGTTTTAAAAGTATTTATATAAATACATTTATTTAGTTTTAAATTGTAAATTAGTACCTATACTGTTGTGTATCTGAGTAGTGGCGGTAAAAATATTCACTACTCCATAGTCTACTAGTCCCATTGGTGTCATAAGAGGCGACAGAATTAAGCAAACCAGTAGATAATGAAAACTGCGGTTGGCAACCCGCCTGGCAAGCGTGGCAACTATTACAATTATCCCCATTATGAGGCGATCTATGGTGAGGCCCATATATATAGAGATATACATTGTGATTTAAATAAAAAAAAGTTGTAAAATCAGTTAAAATAACGCATTAGCATGCATTTTTAATTTAAAAGATAAAAAGAACAGAAT